AAATATGCAGTCCAATGGACAATTTCCCAAAATGCAGAAGGACTTACTAGATGAACAAGAGGCAGTGTGGGAGCACAAGAGGAAACGGCTGACTCTGCCCTCGAGTGGGCAGGGAAAGCTGAGGAAGCTGAGCCCTGAAGGAAGGGTGACGGTATGCCAGCAGAGCGGTCCTTGACCAAGAAAAGAGCATGTAGAGGGTCACGAAGCACAAGGCACCTTCATGGAATGGGTGGCGACCCCAAGGGGCCTCCAGAGGATACGTGTAGGGGAGACTATATGGCGGGAGGGGCAGCAGCCAGACTGCGGAGCCTGGCCTTTAGTCTGCAGGCCAAGGTTCGGGGGTAGGTTCACACCATGGGGCTTCTCTACCGGAAGGGGAAGAGGAGTCTCAGGCTGCAGTGGAACTGTTGGCCACCAAGCTGGTTTTCCCTGAACTAGTCTTCTTAGATGCACAGAACCTTGGGGTATCACTGTGCCCACTGCTATGGTCTAAATATTTGTGTTGTCCTTCCCCGTCTAATCCTTATGTTGAAAGGTGCCCAAGGTGACAGTGTTGAGAAGTGGGGTCCTTCAGCGGTGATCAGGTCACAAGAGCAGAGCCCTAATGAACGGCTCCAGAGTTCCCTTGCCTCTTCTGCCACATGGGAACACAAGTTGGCAGGCTGCAGCCTAGAAGAGACTTCATCTGACCATGCTGGCACCCTGACCATCCAGCCTCCAGAACTGTGAGAAACATGTTTCTGTTGTTTATAAGCCACTCAGTCTGTGGCATTTTTTCTTAAATAGCAGCCCAAATGGTCTGATACCCACCATGGTAGACTAGACATACTTCACCAGTTTTCACTTCAGGGAAATTGGTGAGCACTCTAAAACTTGAGGCTACCTCATCAGCACTAACCCCACCATTAACCATGAACAGTACTTGGCCTCCACATGACACCAGGATGGAGACCAGGGACGACAGCTACCTTCAGTGCTGGCATGACTGGGTCTGGAAACATGCCAGGCATCAGCCCTGCTGCACAGTTCACTGGTTACCAATCAGGCATATGGGCTCTGAAAGGCAGGGAAGTTGGGAGTGGGGGTGGGCAGGACAGAGTAGCCATCATCTACAGCATAGTGTCCTGCCTGGCCTGGGGCTCCTCTCTCTCAACTGTTCAGCTGGGAGAGATTATGGAACTGAAAGACCCCGCTGTGATTCATGCTGACAGTTTGCAGCCTCCTGAGCCAGGGTGAGGATACCCTCCTGACAAGCAATGCTGGGGCTCTTCATCCATGTTTCTGAACTCCTGTGTCCATTTCCCCAGGAGAAGTGGTCCCGGCATCCTTGGCCGTATCAGGGAAGGTCTGGATCAGGGCCCACTGAGGGAAGAGGTCTGTGAACCGCTATGACAGCCCTAACTGCAGCAGAGGCATAGTAGGGGTCAGCAGTTCTCCTCAGACACCAGATGACCACTGACTAACAAGGGGAAGGACGAGTTCTGACCATGCTCCCCCATAGCCCTCAGTGCCTATCTCCAGCTGTCCAGCAGGAACTACGGGACGGGGAGAGGTGGTCGGCTGGAGGAAAAGTGGGCTGTAGCCTGGTACTGTGGCTAGGATGGGAGTCAGGCCCTCCCTGCTTGGAGCTGCTCACAAGTTTGCTTCTCACAGCTCACAGTGCCCCACAGCCAGGCATACAGGCCCTCAGGCCCCAGAAAGCGTCCCATCGTTCCCGCTATGCCCTTCTACTCCGATGAGCCTTGTAGCTTCTTCTACACCCATCACGCTCCTTCTTACTGTTAGGTTTTCGTTCATGCTGATTTGTCTGGAATGGCTCCCCCTTTGTCCTCTCCAGTCTTTTCACCTAACTTTTCCTCATCCTTTAAATTATACCTCAGCCATCAATGCTGGGAGCCTTCCCTGACAAGCTCCTCCTGGCCCTGATACCAGCCCAGCAGTAGCAAAACTATTGATCCCATAGTGCCTTGATTTCCTTGTATCATCGCATTGACTACAAGTCTATTAAAGGCTTTATCTGTTTGTGTATTTGTTTTCCCCCACTATACTATGGCCCCTCAAGAAGCCCATATTCATCTTTGAAGCCCCAGGGCCTAGTTCTAGGTCTAACATGAAATAGGTATCAGTTAATTTTCATTAAGTTGAAGAGCCCTCCCACAACCTCAATCGTGCAGGGCTTTTGAAACTGAAGAGTTCATATTCCTGACTTCCTTGTACATACGGCATCAGCAGCCGTTCCACCTGGGGTTTACACACTCTTCCATCTTCCCACCGGTACTACCACCCACTTACTACCTGCCTTCCCCCACCCCAGTTCTCATCTGGGTTCCCCCAGAAGCAGACCTAATTTGAGTGCAAATAGTTTAACTGGGGAGCAATCCAGGCAGGGCTAGGATTAGGGTGACACACATGAGGAGCTGAGCTACAAAATGTAGAGAATCTCTTTTCAGTTCACACAAGTGCCAACCCTGCCCTTACATGAAACCCAAGAATGAGGGCCCCAGCCCTGATCCAGGCAACACTATCAAGAGTTGGAAGCAAGACAGGAAGGGAAGGAAGCTAGCAGAGCATACATAAGCTGCTGCAGGGAGCTACTGAGGCTCACTCCCCCAGAGGAACTCTGGGAGGCAGGCGGAATGCACCCACCTGAGGTGAGAAAGTTGGGAATTTATCCTCCAACTCCTGCCTTTCACTGGCTGAGGGCTGCCCCAAGGGGCCTCATTCCCCGGCACTCCCAGTCTTTGCCACACAGAAGCCTAGAGAAGTGCTAAGGAGGGTCACAGGCTCTATTTCATACCCTGTATGATGGAACAGTGAAGTGTCCAGGGAAAACGGGCAAGGCACAGCCTCCACTAGAGGGCTGTTGCAAGGGTGAGATGAAATAACACCACCACAGTGCCTAACGCAGAAATCACCTTCCCCTTCCCAATTTATCACAATAGCTTATGGAGTTCATGGCGCTTCCCACCTCTTCATGTGTTGGCAACAGCAGCGGAACAGCTGCTTCTCATCTTTCAAAAGAAGCAAAACAAAAACAAAAAAACAAAAACCCAAGGGCCCTAGGAGAGCTCTAAATACCTCAGCTTGCTGTGGAAGGCTGGGGCCTGGTAGAACTAAGGTAGTCGAATTGCCTCTTCTCACACCTGCACTTCACCTCTCTCTGGCTTTTCCACCTGCCACTGTAACACTATTTATGACATACAAAACTAGCATCACATTGAGTAACAACTGCTGCCATTCACATGAGATAGACACTGTGCTTTTTTACACATTATCTTACTCCTTCGAACCCTGTAAGACTTTTCACATTTTATACACAAGGAAACCAGGTCTCAGAAAGGTTAACTTCTATCAGAAATAGGGGTTCAGACTCAGGTTAACGGCATACTCTTTCCATTGACTTTGTCTCTTTACTGTCTCATTAAGGCCCCTCCCAAAGGACCACTGGCATGGAGAGAATAAGGCAAATAAGCAGCCTTTGCCAAAGACAAAGTGGGGAGGGCCTGGGGAGACGGCTGTCTCCCCCAGCTCCACATCGGCTAATAAACAAGCCCATCAGTCCTGGTCCCGCTGATCCACACCCTCCTCCAACAATTTGCCACTGACTGATGTTCTAAGGAGACTGCTCAATTTTAAGTTAAATAATTCACTTTCTAGAATCAGCCCCTTTCCCTTTTCTTATCTTCAGGCAGAGAGATAAACATTCTATCCTCTGTTTACAGAGCTTAACCTCCAATAAACTGCCATTTAATGAGAGAAAACTAGTGAGAGTTAGGCTGATGGAACATAACTGATAAACTACTTTTCATTAGAAGGAAAACAGGAAAATAATCAATACTTGAGTCAAAATACAGCATTTTCTTTAGGACCAAAGAAGCAGGGCACTGTAGTCTCACTGCCATGGACAAAAAGTGGTTTTATTTGTTACTCTGAGCCTTTGCTTCCTCATCTGAAAATTAGGGAGAGTAACTCCTACCTCATAGGGTTGCTGTAAGGATTAAATAAAGTACACACATTGCCTGAATCATAACAATTGCTCAAAAAAAAATAACAGCAATTATTCATGTGATGCTGGCCACAATGTCAGCATGATCCAACACCAAGACATGAAGGAGCAGAGTGAGCCTGCCATCCTGCCTTCTTCTAACTCAAAGAGCTTGTGTGCAAAGACACCTAGGCAGGAAACAGCACATTAAAGGCCTATGCTGTGCCTTACATCTAGCTATCTCTGAACTCCCTACTCTAACACACACCTCACGTTTGTTTTACAATAAAGGAAAAGAAAACTTTGGACTTGGTAAACCAGAAGTTAGGAGAGTCTGAAAGGTGTTCTGTTTACTTTGTCCCAGGATCCTTTCCTGGTCGGCAGCCACCTCATACCACCTTCCACGACATCTTCAAATCAGCTTGGGCCAAAGCTAGCTTTCTTAACATCTTTGTTTGGTCATCTCCCCTCAGGTAGTTGCTTCTGCCATTCAATATCCTCTCATCTTTGGAGTATGCCTGTGTGCTGAGGAAAGACTACATCTCTGTTCTGCACTGGAAGCTCCTGGGCAATGTGGTCAAGAATGAGCACCCTTCTACTAATGTACTGAACTAGAAGCTATTTCCTGTTGCTGCTATGCCCTCTGACAACAAGAGAACCAATCTCGGTTCTAGCAGATGAATATGCAAGGCATGCTCACTGGTTAATCCAGGAAGAAAAAATAATTCTATAGGAACTAACAACTGAGTGTTCACTTACCAATTCCTGACAAGAATGGTAGGACATATCCCTTAAAGGTCCTATGCTCTGCCCGAGAATTCTTAACTGGGTGAGGCAGCAAGATGAAATGACAGGTCACTGAGTGGTAGGGATAACAGAACAGAAGTAGAACTCAGTGCCCTGTCATCTTCCAGAATGATGTCAGAAAAGGTCAAGGGAGTAACCACACAGTGTTCAGAATTGTGCACTATACTTCCAGTGAATATAGGTAGTGTGTCAAAGACCAGTAATGGAATTCATTCCGAAACATGTAATTTATGAGTCTGAGAGTCTGAGTCTGAGAACTAGCTCCAAAATTAAAATATCCCTCCCTCAAGCCCCACAACACAGAGAAAAAAAAGCAGCATCTCCATCTTACTGAAATAAGATTTCATACAAACATAGATAAATATATTTAAATTTTCTTTTAACTATAAGTTAATTCGAACAGACTGTTATAATAAAACAGAATACTATACACAGTTGTCTGTATAGCTCATAGAAAACATAAAAACCAGAATGCTGAGTCTGTGCTGGTGGTAAAAACTGCAGGGTCAAAACTTGCTCGACAATGAACTGGAGGCCACTAAGGCTTAATGAACTTGGCCCACCCCTATTGCTAATGGTTTTGTCAACCTTCAGACCCTAGAAATTTAGGATTTCCTCCTTCTTCCTCTACCGGCTTTGGTCCGTGTCCGACTACCTGGCCGGACAGTAAGTTGCTTCTTGAAGTCCACTAAGCAATCTGTGGCTTCTGAAATAGAAACAAAAGACTTGATGGGAGACTCATTTAAGTCAAGATGTGCAAGGGAACTCTGCATTTCTTTGCTGCAGCCTGCCTCTTCTACCCCTGGTGAAGGCACCCTAGAGAGAAGGAGAAAAAAATCAGAACGCAATACACACCTGCTAATAAGCACTGAGTATGTGTCACGCGTTGTACCAGGGGCTTGTACATATACTATCAGTTCACGTAATCTTTCAAATGATCCAGCCAGGTAAGTACTATCATTCCCCTTTCACAGATGAGGACACTGGGGAAACCATAGACCCAAAGCCACACAGGCAGTGAGAAAATGAGGGTTCAGACTCAAATTTCCAAGCTGTTTGAATTCTCAGTCAGAAGACCAGGGCGGGGTAGGGACAGAAAGGCAGGGAGGAGTAAGACAGCTTTTCCTCTGCTTGTTTCAACACCACGAGTGAAGTGAGGGAGCTGTCCAATTCTTCGCCCAGGTTTACGGGGGTCACAGAGTTATATAGAGAGAGGTCACACGGTTGCACAGTTTTCTACTTTAATAGTTTAAATACCAAACTGTACACAGAACAGAGGACTGGGCCTCTGCTTTTCTAGAACGGCTGACAGTCACACTTAAGGGCACACTCCAATTTACCCGAAGGCTCCTGTTTCTGAAAACTTGGTCTTTATCTCTGCATCTGTGATGAGAGAAAAAGTAATAATGCTGTTAGTAGTGCTGTAATCATAACACTTCTCACCGGTAATACACTTTTAGGCACTGCTCTTCCTCAGGCTGACCCAGGTAGCTCACATCCCCAGTCCCCAGACCAACGGAATGGGAGCATTAGCCTCCAACAGGCTCAGCTGCTGAAGTACCGAGGTGAACACTTGTGAATGAATAACCACTGAATAAACCTACTCCCAATCTGGACTTGAGGAACAAGGAGTTGCCATGGGAAATCTGCTACCTGCAGAGATTCACAGCCTGCTGATCTAGAGGCAGCAGGCTATGCAGCTCAGAGATGCTGCCTTTTAGCCATCAGAAGGCACAACAGATTTGCTTGATGGGAATGAACTACTAGAACTAGATGATAAGCAGAAGTCCCTTTCCCTTGTACACCTAGTAAATTTTAACAACAGCAACTGTTAACAACAACAACAGTAACAGTAGCAGCTAACATTTACTGAGAGCCTACTTAGGAGGCTGGTGTTACTAACTCTATGCAATGTTCTTGAACAGTCCACTCTACTCCTTAAAAATTAAACACAGAGACAAGAGCCACTTCCTACACTCCCTCAGGAGCATAGGCTGAAACACTAAGCTAAAGGTAACATGAATGAAGCACAAAACATACGGAGACGGTAGTACTGCCTGGTTTTCAATGCCTATTCCTTTAGAAGATAACTTGGGGCTTGTGCCATTCCCCTGTGATTTGGAAATGTTTTCTCCCTAGTTCAACAGCCAGTCCAAATTTCAACGTTTATAAAGCCCGAAACAAAACACATGATGAACAGGGTATTTTCCCATCTTCCTTAGGGAGAGATGACCTAGACCAAGTCTCAAAGGCTGGCTGACTGGGTCAAATGTGCACCCAAATAACTCCAGCAAGGAGTTAGGGGAGTTGGTAGTGGTTATTCTTACTGGAAGGCCTTAGGCAGATGCCCAGAAAACTGGTGCTGGGATCCTCACCTGCAGCCTTGTACTCAGACTGTTCCAAGAGACTGAGGAGTCGGCCTTCACTGTGACCTTTTTCCTGTGACAGAAAAACAGATGAAAGAGTTACACCAAAGAGTCTAAAATACAGCTTCCTTAGCCCAGATCACACCTGTCTCCAGGAGAGAAGAGGTGTGGGGGCACAGCTGTAGGAAAGTCTTCTGCTTTCTAATAAACAAGGGTAAATAGTAAAAAAGCAAACTGTGATAAATAGAGTACATCTTTATGCCAAGAATATATCCAAGAATGGATATCAGAGTCAAGACAAATTATTCCACCAAGATCGTATTAGAGAACAGTAGCCTTTGACCTGTGAGAGACTTAAAATGGAAAACAAATTTCAAGGTAGCTTCTAGAGGCAGTGATGCCAGAGGATAAACTGGCTCTATGGTATAAGCACAAACCTGTAAGCTCCAATTCCAAATTATCATCTCAAAATCACCCCATTCCCACAGGGGTCCCTCTTCTTCTGTCATGACAGATAATGGCTTCTCCATCTCATGTGCAGTGACTGCTGTGTCAGGAAGCCCAGAACATGGGGTTGCTGCTTGATCTCTGATTTCTAAGCCAAGACTTGCTCTGCTTGATCTCTAATCACAAAGCCCAGAAAGCACATCCATCTTCCCAGTGACCGGGGCCAGACCCTGCAGCTTCCTAAGGCTGAGCACACAAGGTGTTCAACAGAGTTGATAGTGAGTATGTTCCTAACAATGGGGTATGACTGGATATCTTTTCTGGAAAGTAATTTGGCAGCATGGTACAAGAGATTTTTAAAATATTTAAATCCATTTCCCTAAGAGTTCCACTTCAGGAAATCTATTCTAAAGAAATAATGAGTGGTACAAAGACTGATTAATGTTTTAAACACAGCCTTATAATACAGCAGAAGTGGAAAGAATTTGAATGTCCAATAATATAAGAATGGTTCATTGCCTCTGTGTGACAGAAACATTAAGAGTATTTTAAAAAACAATTTAAAAATAAATTCAAGAAGGTACTTATGTTACAATGTTAAATGTATACAATATACACACATATGTGTATATACACACACACATATATGTACATATATATAGTATGGTGTCAACTACATTAACAATGCATAGAAAAAAAGATTGGAGAAAAATAGGCCAAAATACTAAAAGATGTTATCTTGAGTAGCTAAATTATGGGTGATAATTTCCCCCAATTCTTCATACTTTTTTTGAACTTCTCGTATTTTCTACAATGAGCATATATTACTTTTTAATTAAAAGAAAAATAACTTTACAAAGTGCAAGATATTTATTTCAAGATAAACAGAAGAAAAGGAAGGAGGGGAGGGTATATAGCTCAGTGGCAAAGCGCATGCTTAGCATGCACCAGGTCCTAGGTTAGATTGCCAGTACCTCCATTAAATTAAAAAATAATAATGATAATAAATAAAATAAATAAATATTACCTCCCCCCAAATTTTTTTTTTAAATAAAAATAGAAGAAAAAAGGAAGGAGGGAGGATAGAGAGAAAAAAAAGCCCAGAACAGAACTGTGCAGAGTTAGGTAGCCTTTCCTGAAACACTCCACACTTACCTTTGGGTTCCGCAGCCACTGTGGACGCTTCCCTCGCACAGCTGAGCATACTCTCCTACTCTCTTCAGGTTCATCTTCTTGATCACGTCTTGCAAGCTGGAGACAGGACTCTACATGACACTGGTACTCTCTGAACGGGACTAGGGATTTACAGAGATAACACTTCTCATGCCTAGCCAATCAGAAGAAAGGGAGAAAAAGCAGTTTTAAGATTTGCTTTTGCCTCTGGGCTCCTAGATACGTCTCAAATTGTGTTTTTATGTCTTCAAAGTTATTCCGTGGAGAAGACACGTCAACGAAAGCAGATTCGCTCAGCAGGAACACCAGTAAAACTACCCCAATGCCAATCAAAAGGACTGAGTGATTAGTGGTTTCCCCTGGCTGTTTCTCTGTACCCTGCTGTTGCAGCAGTGGGGTAATAATGAAATCAGCTCTTCTAACTATTTCAAACAATGCTGATTGCTCTTCAGACATAAAATGTTCTGTCAAACTCTCTTCAAATTAAGTGTAATCGTTTTTTCAAAGGGAAGTTAAAAACTCAGACAGAAAAGGGAACACCAGGACCATCAAATCAAAATGACATTTTCACCAGGGTGAATGAACTTGTCTGATTAGTAAAATCAAGTCTGTCTATATGCTGACTTCCTTAATTCTACAATCTTCAACATCAACTAGAAGTTACCAAAACCATGTGGTTCTTCCAGAGGCTTCTGCATAACTTAATATACATAGTTATTTTTATATTTTTATAACAGTAGAGTTTGTGCAAAGAGAGGGAATTGTGTCCTTGAGGTAAGGTTTACTGGACATCAGTAAAAATGGAATCATTGGAGACAAAGGAAGAAAATGAACATTTACTAGGTATTTTCTCTGTGGTGAGAACTGGTGTAAGGCCCTTTAAACACAATCTCTCAATTAATTTTGGCCTATTAGGAAGGTATTATTCTCCCCAACGTTTTATAGCTAATAATTATCAGAAGACAGGTCTGCCTGACTCATAAGATCATTTTAGTTTTAAGAAGTTAAAGAAAACTTTCCAAAGCTTGCTATCGTAGACTTCTTCTGGCCATTGCTATTCAGCTACTACAGCAAGGAAGATTTACATCGTCTCTAACGAGAAGTTTCTTAGGAGGTTTTTAAAATAGGAGAAGTCCGTCTCTCAAGTAAATAATCACTGGAGAGAATACAAGTAAAACTCTGCTTTATGAGAAAAGCTAGATTAGTGTAACTTTCAAGGTTTATCAATTAATGTAAAAAGCATTTATTAACCCCCTACTACATGAGAGACAGAAGCGTGTAAAAGAAGCATGAGTTTCAAAGTCAGGTAGGCTTTGCCAGTTCTGGCCACATGATCTTAACCAGTTACTTAGAATTTCTCTTCAGTTTCTATATCTATTTTTAAAAAAGAAAGAGTAATTACCTTACCAACTATTGTGACAGTTACAAAGTAAATAAAGCACCCAGCACGGTGGCTGGAACATAATATTAGGTGCTCAACAAATAGCCAATACCGGTATTGCTGTCTCACACACATTTTATCAGATACTGAGGATATAAAATGAAGGTAAGTATCTGCCTTCAAATAACTCACAGCCTAGCCAGGGAGACAGAAATGTCAAAAAATGAAAGAAAAAATATTACTGCAATAGTGTGATGAATACAGTCCTAGAAGAATGAGTGCATGTCAGGAGAATTTCAAAAGGAATTAAGTGGATCAGCCTCTGCTCAACTGGATTAGGGAAGGCAGCACTAAAATTTAGGGTCAAAGATAAGACCTATGTTTCAAAGACAAACATTTCTGTCTGATTAGAGCAGTGACTAACTGCTCTAATGTACTGCAGTGATGTCTTTACTTTCAGGAAGCAGCACTTATACTTGACCTTCCCAACGGTCCCCACCTTAGAATGCACTTCCTTTGTCAAGCTGCAACCCACAACCCAAGGAAGTCGTCAATATTGCCTAACTTTTTGCAACTCAACCATTGCATTGCAAAATAGTTCATTGCTTCCCCAAAGCACCAAATACAATATGCAAATTCAAAGAAAACAGAAAGCTAAGAGCAATGTGGAAGTGGAATAGGTGGCAGGATCTTTTCAGGGTAACAAAAAAGGGATACAGAGACCATCTACACTGGAACACAAAAAAGAAATTCGGGCATTAAAGCAACAAAGTGATTGCCAGGCCAAAGAAAGCCAGGATAAGCAAGGAACTGGTCTCTTATTCAGTCTAAGCAATGGCATGTTAAGCAAGAGCTCCATAAACACAGCATACCTACTTACTTGTCAATGTCTAGGGAAGTCTGGGCAGCTGTCCCACTGCCGCTCTTGCTCTTGCTCTTGGCCTCTTTTTGTCTCCGAGTCAACACTTTCAACAAAAAAAGAAAAGAAGAAACAAAACAAAAAAAGAAAAACTGTTAGTGGGCAGTAAACTCTGAATATAAAAGACAGAATGTATAGGAAGAAGAAAAGTTTAAAATCCTATTCCACTGGGAGAAGTGCACTGTCCAGAAACCTCTGCCTTTCTAGTTTAGAGAATATTACTTGTATAACATGGACTGAAACTGCCAGCCACAAGATATTCCCATATTTGGTAATGAGATCTATTTTTTCCCCTCTTTTCCATGAGATCTAAAGATTAGTCCACCCCAAGAAAAGTTTTTGTGTACTACTCCAACTTGCAGCACTCAGGGGAAGGATTTATACTTTCTCAATGAAAACACTCCAACAGGTGCTTTATGGGATATAGCAATGATAGCTCCATCTGAGTGCCCACATCAGCTCCAATTTCACAAAACACTGGAAGCATTCCACCTACAAGTGAGGAAGCCAGAGCTCAAAACAGTTAACACAACCAGTCTTTTCCACCACACAGCAGGACCATCTCTTTATTCCAGTAGGTATGGACAGCTTTAGCCTAAGTGGCATACAAATACTTTGTCTCACACCAAAAGGTGTCTGTTAATAAAATCATACTCTCTTAAAGAATCTTGGAAGATTAATTAACCAACTGTTTTCCAGTCTTCATTCCTTGCCGTTAACAAGGAAAACTGTGACCATCTCACGTCAAATCTTGCCTTCTTCTCTCCTGACACTTAAAATCTCCATGACAGAGAATTTAGGAAGGTTATCAGTTCACAAAATAATTTAGGTTATGAAACATTTATCTAGGTCAGGGATCAGCAAAATTTTTCTGTAAAAGACCAGGAAGTAAATATTTTAGGTGTGGCAGGCCATATGGTCTGTTACAACTTCTCAACTGTGCATTGTAGCAGGAAGGCAGCCACAGATAACATATAAATAACTGAGTGTGGTATGTTAAAGTAAAACTTTATTTACAAAAACAGGTGTCTGGTTAAATTTGGCCCTGGCTGGCCAGAGTTTACCTACCCTTCTATTCCAACCTCCTATTCATAAAAATCCCTTCTATAAGCATTCCTGGCAAGGGATTTTACAATCTCAACTTGACTATATCCATTCACTGAGGAGAATTCACTTCCTCCCAGGGAAATCTATTCTACTATTACACAACAATCTGGCTCAATCTACATTTACTGGGGGCTGTATGAATATAAGTTTACCCCTTTTTCCACAAGTAAACTCTATGAATACTTAACAACCTGAATTATAATTTTGGTTTTACTTAACTGCCTGACCCATTAAAATGTAACCACCTTCAAAATAGGTACTAATAAGATTTGGATTGCAGAACTTTTTGAAGGCCTAGGTCTAATCCTTTTAATGACCCTCTAGAGACTGGTGTTATTATTCTGCCCTATATTAAAAGTATGAAAACAAACTCAAAGGAACTGACTTTGCCAAGCTATCACAATTGGTAAGAAGAACCTAGGGTAGACTGTAAATCCATTTGATTCCTTTACCCATGTTTTACCTTTGTAGTTAACCTCTTCTACATATACCCCAATTTGTCAGTCTCTCCTTATATGTGTGACCCCCCAAAACGGACCCAATATTCCAACAGCCTGACCAGTAAAAAGAACACAAGAACCACAAGCTACCCCATCTGGACTCATATTCTACTAACTCAGCCAAGGCTGTGTTTATTTTATTGCCAATCCTGGTACATTACTGGTTTAAACTGAGCTTAAAGACAATTAAGACCTATACCCTACCCTCCCAAATCATCTTTAAAACTGTTATCAAGAAAGGTCTCCTAATTCTATACTAGGGTATCTAAGCTGTTCCCTCTTTAACAGAACTTTGTATTTATTCCTGTCTGTTGAAATCACCTACAGACTTGATTCTGTCATCTGATGTTGTCAGCTCTCCCAGCTTTGTGTCGTCTGCATATATGACAAGAATGCTTTCTACATCTTCATCCAAGTCACTGGGGGAAAATAGCTGTAAATGATATGGCCAAGGACATAGAAAACTCTGGCCTGTTACCAGGGAAACCTGTCTTAAATTTCCTTTAAATACTTGAGTAAATATTTATTGAGAATCTTCAATGTGCAAGTAATTCGGGGAGATATAGGAAATTACAAGGCATGGCCTTTGCTCTTAAGGAGTTTACAACTTACTAAGAAAGACAGCACATAAACTCAATTAACTATAATACAAGGTGTAAAGAGTTATATGTAATAAAACATGATCACACACAGAAGCAACTATGAACAGTATTTCTGTCTCTGAGAAGGATGAAAGGAACACCTGAGGACTGAAATAGGAGGGAGGCATATTTTTCACTATATAGTTTCTGTACTGTTGAATTAAAAATTAAAAGGGCTAAGTATTTACCCAAAGAAAATGAAAGCACTAATTCTAAAATACGTACCCCTATGTTCACTACAGGATTGTTTACAATAGCTAAGATATGGAAGTAACCTAAGTGCCTATGAATAGATGAACGGATAAAGATGTGAGGTACACAGACACACAGAATATTACTCAGCTATTAAAAAAAAGAGAAAGAAACCTTGTCATCTGTGACAACATGGAATAGACCTAGAGGGTATTATGCTATGTGAAATAAGTCAGAGAAAGACAAATACTATATGATTTCACTTATATGTGGAATCTAGAAAACAAACGAACAAATGTAACAAAATCGAAACAGAGGCACAGATACAGGTGGTTGTGGGAGAGAGGAGGGTGGAGGGAGGAGAGAAATAGGTGAGGGAGATTAAGAAGTACAAACTTCTAATTACAAAATAAATGAGTCACAGGTACGAAAAAAAATTCAAAGGGAGAAGAAGAGACTAGGTTATAGCGAGGTCTTAGTCACAGCAGGTTAGAGAAGATGATCTATTTCTAAGGTTTCTTCCAACCCAGAGATTTTATAAGTAAAAATTAAGTACTGCAGGAGAAAAAAACCCTGGACACAGAAGTATAATCACCTTCAAAATCCACCTCCTATTCTATCAGCCAGCCCACATTTTTTCTCCATCTTATATACAAGGACTTCATGAGAGATTTTTATCAAGTGCCTTGCAGAAATCAATCCTTAAAAGGTTGGCATCTCAGATTACAGAAACCTTTAAGGGTTGTTTCCCCCTTCTTCTCTTTCTATTTGCACCCCCATCTTGAGTACCAAGTATTTTTCCAAAAGAAATACTTGGAAACCACTCTGAAGACAGAGCTGGAAAAAGAATTAATCACTTCTAGCACTTCATATATGTATCTCTCTACTGCACCTAGCACGTTTCAGGTATTTGTTTATATGTCAGTCTCCTTTCTACATCATACCACTCTCAGAATCCAGAGATTCCGGGTTTTGTTTTGATCTCTTCACCATCCCTAGCAGTCTGGTAACAGAATAGACACTAATAAATATTTGCCAAATTAAATCATAGCAATGGATTCAAGGGAAAAGGGGGCTCTTGCTTTATAAAGACCTTCTCTGTGCCAGGGACTTAATAAACATAATTTCTACTTCTTACAACAATCCTGCAAGGCATGTATCACTATCGGTATTTTATAAATGATGCAATAAACTGATCAAGATCACAAAGCTAAAACAACAACAAAGAAATATGGCACCAGGAATGCAACATGAGCTTGACTTTAAAGCAGCATATATTCTTCTACCAGAGCAGGCTGCCTCTCCTGGGAAATCGGAGGGTTAAAGGATGGGAAGAGAAAAAGTGGTTAAGTGGGCAGGTGGAAAAAAGACTTGGTAGATGACTAAGAACTATATGCTAATTCTATTATTAAACATTATGATCAGAGCAAACTGGACTGGGTCTTGCAGCTGCATTTTTCCTTTGAAAACTACTGCCCCTCCAAAGGAGCAGAAAGGTGTAAGTTGCTCTAAAGGAACCTCCTACTCTGGTTTACGAGTATTGAGAGAACCATTTCAACTAGCTGCAGGCAGAGAATTCAGTATGAAACTTAAGTCCAAAAACTTAGCTGCTGGTGACAACAGCCAAAGATTTCAAAAGGAAATAATGGAGTCTGAGGACAACTACCAGGGCAATGTAAGCAAAACAGAAAGGAGGGACATCACTGAAAGCTGAGAGAGCCACCTATAAACCTATGACCATTAACTTAGGCCTTTAGATACCACTGGATGGAAAATGCCCTCTGGAACCGTGCTTGCGACTTGGCTTGACACTGTTAAGATACAAAGAAGCAGTGGCACACAGCAGAATAAAGTGCACCAACTTTAGAGTCGGAAGAAATGGTCTCCAAGCTGGGACTCTACTAGCTGTGTTGCCTTAGGCAAATTACTTAAGTTCTCTGAGTATCAGCTGACTTACTCACAAAATGAGATGATAACATCTACCCTCATGGGTTTTGGTAAGGATCACATCTTGTAATTCAAATAAGTTGTAAGAGTGTTCAGCCCACAGAAAGAACTCAGAAAATGTTAGTTGTTTATTATTGCATAATTCTCATTATTAGTGTTCCATATTTATTTCTTAGCCTTATCCAAAGATTTAAGCCCATCCTTAGAACCAATACTTACCAGTCTGTCTATAATTTGGGTGAGGTCTTAGACTTAAATGGTTGCCATTCTGATTTGTACAAACAGAATGGACAAATAACTAAAACATTACAGAACAATTTCCAATACTATGTAAACATCAGCACATTTGTTTAAACCTAAAATGAATAAGCAATCAAAAACTAAAACATATAGCCTTGAACTGTAAATAGTAAAGACAATGGCTCCTTGAGGAAAGTGAAACTTATATGTACAAAAAAGAGAGATTTGGCAAAATAACAGTGGATAGTCTGTTTGTCTTCCTCAACTTCAAAACCACCTCAGCAGGAAATAACTGAGTTGTTTATGTTCCTGCTAAGACCGCCCACCCTCCAGCCTACCATTTTCTCACTGGGACCTTAGAGGAAAAAGGGAAGGCCTGCTCCACTTGCATGTTGCCCGCCTCAATGCTGCAGCCTTCC